ATTTAGATATAGGTCTGTAGTTTGAAAGATCAGCAGGTTCTAGGTTCTTCTTTTTAATAAGTGATTGCAAAACAACATGTTTAAAGGCAGCTGGAATACAACCAGATGCAAGAGAATTGTTTATCAGAGCAAGTATAGTTGGTCCTGTTGAGTCAAAAGGCGAACACAGTCTGATAGAGAATATAAAAATCTTATATCCTGAACCATCTCCTTTAGAGGACGGACTCACAGGCTCAAACTGCTCAACCCTTGCTGGGAGGAGGTACAGATGGGAGTGCTTCAGCCTGAGATGATGAAGGTCTGAGAGCAGAATTTTTTTCCACAAAAAATTTGCGAAAAAAGTTTTCACAAGGTGCAGTACAGAGCACAGCATCACAGCGGGATTAACTATTGACTTAAACACTTTAAAGAGAAAATGAGGCCCATATCTGACAAGTAAACAGACTTTGCATATTTGACTGATTACTGATACTTTGAAAACAATATAATACGTAGGCTTTCTAATGAGACCCAGAGCTTGTCCTTTTTTTACGAGTTTGGAGACAAGCAAAGGATTTTTCTTGTATTACAGTATGATACCTTTTCCTGCATGAGAATCTTTTCTCCGCAGCTTCCACAAAAGTCATGTTATTTTCCAAAAACTATCAAAGACCGTGATTATGTACTGTTATGGAAATTTTAACAACAACCTGCAACGCACCCAGTGATTGTAATTTGAAGTGGGTTTAATAAACATATTGCAATGTGGAGAGAAAAATGCTAGCCAAACACTAGGATCATCTCTGAAATTTGGCCACCGCCCTCACATCTTATATACCCACACAGGCATTCAAACAAAGAACATTCCACAGCACATCACGTATCCCTATACCTTCAGTCCAGCCCATCCTTGACCCCCTCCCACTCTAAGAAGAGTTACGACCACCGATCACCTCCCTTGAGCAGGGTACCTGGATGTCTTCAACTTACTATAGGCTCTCTGTGAAGGTGCAATAACATTTCAGGCCCACTTGTGATAACATTCTACATGCATGCATACAACTGGTGAAAGGAGTGATCTTGCTATACTAAAGTGAGGAAGTGGTATAATAGAATAGAATAGAATAGAATAGAATAGAATGTCTTTATTGTCACTATACAGTTGTACAATGAGATACAGAGCATCTCCAACTCAATGCAAACATCATGTACATCATGTACAAATATACAATCCGGTGTAAAACAGTAAATATGTAAATAAATAGTGTTATGTATAATACAGTACGGGTTATTGCTCACAGAATGTGGTATTACACAGTGTTGGTTTATAGAGGGAAATGGGAAAATGGGGGGTGGGACTGTGTCATCTGTACGTGTATGAATTAAGGGTGGTTATGGCCTTTGGGAAGAAACTGTTCTTGAGTCTGTGGTTCTTTGTGCTGATGCACCTGTAGCACTTCCCTGAGGGAAGCAGGCTGAACAAGTTAGAACCAGGGTGGGAGCTGTCTTTGATGATCTTTGCTGCTCTGCTGAGGCAGTGGGAGGAATAAATGTCCTTCAGGGAGGGGAGAGGGCAGCCAATGATCTTCTGTGCTGCCTTGACTACACTCTGAAGCCTCACTCTCTCCGCCTTAGTGCAGCTGCTGTACCATATTGTGATGCAGTATGTTAGCAGGCTCTCAATGGGCAAGCGGTAGAAGGTCAGCAGCAGGTTGTTGGCCTGGCACTACCTTCCAAACGTCCAGCTCCAAGTACACTTCAGTTTGCCTCGGCATCTCAACTCAACTCTCTCCTGCTTACTCTCCCGCTCCTTCACTGACACACACACACACTTTTGAAATGTGCTCTAGCACAACCAAAGTCTAGTTTAAGCATAAGGGTTTAAGCATATTTAGTTATCCTACAGACAGCCAAGTGTGAGTATGCCCAGAGTAGAGAGTCCAGCACATCCCATATGGAAAAGAAATAGTAAAAACATATATGATTTACTCATGAAAGTGGCCATTTTCTCATTACTTTCATATATTTTTTTAGTAAGTATCAAAAACATACAAGTTTCATTATATAATTTTTCAAGGGATCTTATATGTGTTTTCACTCTTGTATGCTTTTCATACAAGTTTCATACAAGACAGATACAAACTTTATAAGATTTATATACATCTTTTCCATATGGGATGAAGTGCAAACCAAAAAGCCTGTTAAAGTGGAAATGGGTATCCCCTTAATGCCTGGTGTATCATATTTGATATTCACAGTTTTCTGCATGAGCTGTGTGTTTTTCTCCCCTGAAAAACCAAAATAAATTTCACAATACATTTTAAGCAATTTTTAAAAATGGCAGATGTAGCAAATATGATACAAATTAAAATTTTTATATGGAAATTAAAATGTTATGTCCTTGGTGGCAGAGCCCCTGGTGTGGATGAAGTCCGCCCCGAGTTCCTGAAGGCTCTGGATGTTGTAGGGCTGTCCTGGTTGACACGCCTCTACAATGTTGCGTGGAGATCAGGGGCAGTACCCCTAGACTGGCAGACCGGGGTGGTGGTCCCCATCTTTAAGAAGGAGGACTGGAGGGTGTGTTCCAACTACAGGGGAATCACACTCCTCAGCCTCTCTGGGAAAGTCTATGGCAGGGTGCTGGAAAGGAGAGTTCGTCCGCTAGTCGAACCTCGGATACAGGAGGAACAATGCGGTTTTCGTCCTGGTCGCGAAACATTGGACCAGCTCTTTATCCTCTCGAGGATACTTGAGGGTGCATGGGAGTTTGCCCAACCAGTCTACATGTGTTTTGTGGACTTGGAGAAGGCATTCGACCGTGTCCCTCGGGGTGTCCTGTGGGAGGTGCTACGGGAGTATGGGGTGTCTGGCCCATTGCTACGGGCCATTCGATCCCTATAC